AAAAAAAAAAAAAAAAAAAAAAAAAAAAAAAAAAAAAAAAAAAAAAAAAAAAAAAAACTAAGCAATACAGAATAGCCTCAAGCCTGTAAATGAATCAAAGAACGATGAAGAGAATGAAAGTACCATAATCATAACTTAACATTATAACATTGTTGAGAAAGAATGGAGACAGCAGGGGGATCAAGCAGCGAATAATTTTCGCAGGAATAAGAAAATGTAGAAGAACACAGCAAGACGCATAGGAAGTTGGGAACTCGAGCGAAAAGTTCCTACGGCCGAACGGAGGAGTGAAAGAGAAAGAGGGGCGAATTGCTTGACGCCTTTCGATGACTTTGATGGACCATGAAAGTAATGGACCTGACGGCCCAATACGACATTAGGCCCAACTAATGTCCATTTTTTTATTTAATCAAAATTTAAAAAAAAAAACAAAAAAAATATTATTCTCCCATCCATACCTCGATCCCCCATCTTGTCTCGTAAACATCTCTACATTAAACGAAAAAAATAATAATAATAATCGAGACCCCGACTTTCATCACAGTTATTGATTTAGACATGTATCATCGATTTACAACATGTGAGCATCAATTTGAGCATTACAGAAACATGTATTTTAAATCAAAAGTTCAATGGTTTGAATTCTCCCTCCTCGGATGTTATTTTTATCTAATAAAAATAATCTTTAGTACCTATAGTTGACCCACGAAGCTTATTCGCTCCAACGAGGGTTGGGAGTATTAAAAGCCAACAATCCAAATAACTTGAGAAATCCAACTAGAATCTCGAGAATTTCGTACAAATTTTAAGAGCTGGTTGATCTCACTTTTTATTTTATTTTATGCCTCAATTCTCTTTCTTTCGAACCGAGTCCAACGTTGATGAAGCACGACCTCAATATCATCCACTAAGAGACTAAATTGAAATTTTTAAATCAATATCGAGTAAATCGAAAAAAATATTTAAATATTTAAACTTTGTATATTTAGCCCTAATAATTATGTATATTTATATTATAATTTAACCTACATTATTCTCTCTCTTCAAAGTTCATGTTTTTAGACAGAGAATAAATTTGGACAAAAAAAAAAAACAGTACTAATAATAACTCAAACAGAAAGAAATGAAATAATTTTTAATTAAAAAAAATCATTAATGATTTTAATTCATAAGTCTTTCATGTCGAGAAATCAAATTAAGAGCATCGAACTATTTACGAAACAGGGAGATGAAGGGATCATCATCCATTTACGAAGTTCCAATTTTGAACATTGATGACAATAATTCTCGGAAGATTTCGCTTGGGTCCAATGGCAGATTGTTTAATTTCTCTGATGAACGTAGATCCTACATTCTTCTAGCGACTTCCCTGCAAATTTTATTCGTATACCATCATCAATTTCTCTGCTACCTGTTCGAAATTTCATCCTCTTTTAATCTCAGTGTATTTTCGATGTCGTAATCCAATAATTCGTTGAGGGAATTTACCTGTTCGATGCTACCATCTTCGATCTCGGTGTTGAAGGAGAGAAGCAGGTGTTCATGGAGCAAATTTTCCAGATCGTCCACGTACAGGGGAGCTGCAACGGAAGGAAGCATAGCGGAATTAGATCCATGGAAGAAGATCGAGAAACTCCGGAAGGTAATTTAATGGACGGCTGAATAAGGATAACAACGTTTGGATTGAGAGAACCAAGAGAAAACATCTGAGGATTCAGCGATTTCTGGTGAGAATCGCCACCGCCCCATTTGTTATCAATGGCCATTTGAAGGCCGTCCCACCGAGAAAACACCGACGATATAGCCATTTGGAGACTGGAGATAGATCCTGCCTTGTGATTGGTTGAGGTTAATCCATTATTTGGCTCCATGGATAAACCTCAGAGCTTCGTCTTCGTCTTCGTCTTCTCCTTCCTCCAAACCCTAGAAATCTTATTTTTCTTTCTCCTCTTCTAACTGAATCATGAGAGAGAGAGAGAGAGAGAGAGAGAGGGCGGTTGAATTGAGAAATTAATGGCAGAATCGGGCGGAGAGAAAAGCGGAGAACTGTTTGGATGGAAAGAGAGAGAAACATTTGGGACTTTTTTTGCCACTCCGTCGTCATTTGAACCGTCCTCGTCGCCGGCTCTGTCCAAAACAATCGTTTTAATTCTGCTCTGTTCGACCCAATGACTTCACCTCCACTGACCTTCGCATGGCCATGACATGCAAACAGCTACACGATTAAGGAGGGATCAATAAACGATGTCTTAGTCGGGTGCAGTGCCGTCGACATGTTCGCGAAATTGGGTGTTAGTGAGGATGCGTACAAGTTGTTCGTTGAAATGCCTCACCGAAACCTCGAGACGTGGAATGCGTATATATCCAATTCTGTGCTCCATGGGCGGGCTGAGGACTCTACCATTGCATTTATTGAGCTACTTCGAGTTGGTGGGAAGGCAGATTCAATAATGTCTGTGCTTTTCTCAATGCGTGTTCAGAGAAACTAGGCTGGGTGCATTGGTGTCAGCTACATGGGTTCATTATTCGAAGTGGGTGTGCGCAGAATGTCTCTGTTTCAAATGGGTTGATAGCTTTTTATGGGGAAATGTGGGGAGGTTGAATGCTCTGAGATGGTTTTTGACAGGAATACGTTGTTGGGCGGATACGCAGACAAGGCTGTGGCATTGCTGGAGGAGATGGCATCGATGGTGGGCATGGCGCCGAGCTATGTAAGCTTGGTTTGTGCATTATCAGCTTGCAGTAGAGTAGGAGATTTGAAGATGGGGATTGCAGATTTTCTTAGTCCATGAAAGCAAGGTTTAGTACGTACCCAAGGCCCGGCATTAAGCTTACTCAGTAGTTCTTGATGTTGGTTTGGGCTGTTATAAATGGTATCAAAGTCATGTAAGCGTTGGTGTGTCAATGAAGACGCTGGCCCTATAAGGTGGATTGTTATGTCCCAAATCAGTTGGAGAAAGAAAGAAATGTTCCTTATTCTTGAAACTTATATCTAGCAAAGACGTTTTAAACCATAAGGCTGACAGCGATATGAAACGGACTAAAATAGATAATATCTGCTAGGGGAGAGTTTAGACTGTTACAAATGGCAGAGTCATTCGAGCGGCGGGTCAACGAGAACGCTAGCTTCTAAAGGGTGGACTGTCAGGTGTCACATCAGTCTAAGGGTGGATTGTTAGGTGTCACATGTATGTAACCGACCATATTGAACCATGTGTGGTTGGGTTATAATTTCTCAAGTTTTCCCCCATTCACCATCTGTACATAACATCATCAAATTGCCATCCTTACCTCTGCATTCAACACTTGTCCCAACAAAGCCAACCCACCGCAACTGCTTCCCCACATCAATCCCTTCAAACAGCGCACAACAAAATCCAGCTGCCACTGCAGAAAGAAACCTCCCATAGTTAATTTTTATTTTATGTTGATAACATGAGTTGGGAACAGCCACGTAGGGGTGAAGAACAGCGGCAGCCTCGCCGGAACGACGTCGACGAGGGGAAGGAAACCATCAAATACGGCGACGTTTTCAACGTCTCCGGCGACCTGGCTGCAAACCCCATCGCACCACAGGATGCTCGCATGATGGGCAGTGCCGAAACCAGGGTATTGGGGCAAGTGCCGCCGGCTGGTCCGGCCGATATCATGCGAGCCGCCGCTGCTTATAATGTCCAGGTCGGTCTTCTTGGTGACCGTGATGTTAGCTATGCTGCTAAAAACGAAGGCATCAACATTAGCGAGACCGATATTCCCGGAGCCCGTGTCGTAACCGAACGCGTCGCCGGACAGGTTCCCATCTTGAATTTCTCCGATGAATTCATCTCTTTCTTTATCTTTTGTTAAAATTACCAGTTGGGTTCCTTCATTTTTAGATTAGAACTTATTTTCACGTTCAAAAAAGTAATTCATTTGTTGGTGGGTGCTTGATTTTTGAAGGTCGTCGGCCAGTATTTGGACACCACGACGGCGATTGAGACAGAGACGACGGAGCAGAATGTAATAACGATCGGAGAAGCACTAGAAGCGGCGGGTCAAACTGCCGGAAACAAACCGGTGGAACAGAGTGACGCTGCAGCAATTCAAGCCGCAGAGGGCAGAGCAACCGGCAGCAATGCCATATCTCCCGGTGGGCTCACAGCCACAGCTCAATCGGCGGCGAGTTTCAACGCCGGGATGATTCGAGACGAGGACAAGATCAAGCTCAACTATGTCCTAATGGTATCAAGCTCATAAACTTCATAAAATTAAAGAACAATACTTCTTCTCTGCTTTGGGTAGTGATATTGAATTACTTTTTAATTATTGGGACTAACAGGGTGCAAAAGGAAAACTGGCGACGGACAAGCCAGTGAGCCGGAAGGATGCGGAGGGGGTGGTGAGCGCGGAGCTGAGTAACAATCCAAACTTGATCACTCACCCAGGTGGGGTGGCGGCCACCATCACCGCCGCCGCGAGGCTGAATGAGGACGGCGGCGCAGATATATGAAAATAGTGACTTTTTAAATTCTTGTTCTTCTTTTTTGGTTGCTGTATTTGAAGTTTAAAAAAAAAATAAACAATCAGCTGTTTTGCTGACTGTTAGTCAGGATTTCTTTCCCTTTTTTTTTCTTTTTTTTTTTGGTTGAGAAAATTAAGGACGNAGACCTAGCCCAAAAAAAAAAACAAAAAACAAAAAAATTAAATTTTTTATAAACATATTAATTAATTAATTTTAATATATAGTTTACGTGTTAGTAACTTTAATTACCTTTCATTTATCCATCGTTTCTAAGCATTTTTTTTATAAGAGTGTGAAAAAATTTTCAGGTTTAAAAATTTTAAGGAGAAGCTTGAAAAGAAAAGCGACCGATAAACTTCGACAATTAAATAATTTTATTTTATTTTAAGTCTCGAGATAAATGATTAAGGTTATTGATTCATGTCATCTTCCAAAAAATGTAAGGATTTGAAATCTATCGACCTAATATTAAGTAATCCAACTTTACCTAATATTAACAAGTAATCCAACTTTAAGGTGAAAATGTAGATTATCCCAAAAAAAAATATATATATATATATATTTGATGTCACATTCATTTCCATTTTTGCATATTCCCTTAGGGCTCACAAAACTTTGTGTAATAAAAAGAATAAATATTTTGTAACTTTAATTTGCTTACTTTAGTTGACTTTATTTTATAGGCACAACTCTTCCTTCCATAAAATCCACCACTCTCTCTCTCTCTCCTAAATTACTCTTCAAATTCCAACTTCCACCATTTTCTCTCCTCTGAAAAAGATGTCCACATTAAAGAAAAAAAGTTTCCACCTCTGGTTTTCCAAGCTCCGCCGCTTGCCGGCCGCCTTGAACCCG